ATAGTTTTTTTTTTATATAACATCTTTATTGTGTTAGGTAATCTAGAGATGACCTGAAGTCAGATGAGAGGACATGCATAGGTTATATGCAGACACCCCGCCTTTTATATGAGAGACTGGAGCATCTGTGGATTTTGGTGTGTGTGGGTTGTGAGGGCAGTGTTCTAGGAGCAGTCTCCTACGGATACCGGGGGATGACTGCGGTTCCTGTATGTGGTGCGTTCTCCCATAGATCTGCCACACGCCCAGGAAAACTGAGATTAACACCAGCGCAGTACCAGTCACACCCCATTCCAGTGTACCAGTTGTCCCAATAATGTTCTTTGCAGTGAAAAGGTCCAGTTCAGAATCACACACTGCAGGCAGTCATGCCCTTTAGTTGCCTGCAGACTGAACCGCTTCTGCAGTGTCTCCTTGACTTCCCTGACCTTGATGCTTCTGCAGATCACAGACCAGTTACTTGGGTTTGTCTGTTGTTTCTTCATGGTTAGTATAAGATGATGCATCTGCTGCTGAGGCATGGAGGAGAGGAGGGGAGGAGAAGGGGGGAGGGAGAGAGACTGCACACGTGCACTTTCTCAGGCACTGGACTGTTACTCAGCCATAAAAAGGCATGACGCACTGGCACAGGCTACAGCATAAGGAGCCTCAGACCATTGTGCCGAATGAAGGAAGCCAGACACGGAGGCCACAGGGTGCACGACTCCGTTCATGAGAAACATCCAGAATAGGAACATCCACCGAAAGCAGCTCGGTGGTTACCAGGGGCTGCAGTGGGGAGACAGTGGGGAGCAGCTGCTTGATGGGTGGGGGCTTTGTTTTGGGGTGAAGACAGTGTTCTGGAACGAGAACGGGGGCTTGCACGATACTGTCAGTGCATTAAATGCCACTGAATTGCTCACTTTAAAATGGTTAATTTTGTTATGTAAATTTTACCTCAATAAATAAATGAATACTTTCAACTGATAAAAGACTTTAATAGGGCTGATCTGATTGATAACTGAAAAATGAATACAAATGGACCCCGCTTTACTAGATTTGGTCATTTAAATTATTTTAAATGCCCTAGGAAAAATGACTGTAACTTCACTTTGGGAATTCCATTGGGAATTATGACTGTAACTTAGGCCCATAGCTTGATGATTTAAATTTATAGGATTAGGGGGTCTTAGTTTTATTCCTGGCACCATGACGTTGTGAAAAATTCTTAAGTGAATTATCATTTTTTTCTAAATTACTCCTCCTATGAAGACAGAATAATTCACTGCACTTCCCTCAACAAGCCGCACGAGTCAGCCTGACTGAAGGGCAGATGTTAACATGTGCCCCAGTGCAGTCCTCCGGGTGTGACGTACCTGTGAGGTACGCGCCCCTCTCCTCTCCTTTTAGTCTGGGTTCCACTCTTGGTGGTAAATCTGTTCTACTGTGTTTGTAAATCAGGAATTTATAAAAAGACAAGAACACACCACTTTGGCCTTTACCTTTGTGGTGTATTTTATGAAAGTACGGCTGTTTCCTTGCTTGGGGGCGGCCTTACCTGCTTTGCCACAGCACTGGGGTGGCCTGTCGGAGGGGTTTGGGTTTCCCCAGCAGCTGGTTTCCGCATTGCAGTGACGCACACAGATGTCCTCTTCCCAAAGGCAGATGTGTGTGCCCTTCTAAGGTCAGGAAGGGAAGCATGGAGGAGAAGTCATCTGAGAGGGTGGATCTGACCTCTCCTGCCCCTAGGTCACCCCACCTGTGACCTCTTTTGTCTTTCACTGCCTTTTTTCCTTTCTGGGGGGGAATGAATGAGAACTGAAGACTTAGGGAGATCTGGGTTCAAATTCTGAACTCAAGATTAACCAGGGTCCAGATGACTCAGAGAGAGCCATCTTCTCCACATGTGAGCTAGAACCTCCCCCTGCTCTGTGCTGCTGAGTTGATTACATGGAGAAGAAAGTTAACTAGGGGCAGTGCTTGGCATGTAGTCGGTGGGAGCTCAGGGTGGCTGTCCTTCTCCTCCACCCTCTTTCTTGCCTTACCTCCTTCCGCTGAAGAGCAAGAAGCAGAATGAGAGATTGTGCTTAACTGAGGAGGGAAAAAGTGCAAGTCCTCAGTCTTCCAGAAGAGTTCAGGCAAGTTCCGCAGTGTAGGCAATTGCTGGCACCGCCCGGCCACTTGGGAGAGGGGTTCTCCATGACTTACTCAAGCGCCCGCGTCAAACTGAGAAGTCTCCTTTGGCCTTCCTCACCTCCCTTTGAGAACCCACCTTCACCTTCTCTTTTGCTTCCTGAATGCCTTCATTCTGTCCACTACTCATGCCCCCAGATTAACTCTCTCTGTCCTTTTCAACTCCCAAGTTACATTTTCTCTCAAGTTGGATTTGATTTAGATTAAAATGATTAATAGAAAAGCAGCACCTAACTGGTGAGGGGTTTGGAGGATGGCTTGTGAGGCCAGGTGGGTGAGGAGGGTTTCCACGTGGGAGGGAGGCCTGGCACGGGGGTCAGAGCCCGAGGGAGTGGCCTGGTGTTTACTCTTAGGATCTGAGAGGAGGAGAGAGGTTTCCTGCAGAGGGAAATCCTGGCATGGATGTCACTCCACGGAGGTGGAGAGGGGCACCCACACGTGTTGGAGAGTGCTCTGTCACAGGGAGAGCCCACGCAGGGTGGGGAGGGTGCCCATGTGGGATGACAGAGCCCAAGGAGACTGAGGAGGGTGTTGCCAGAGGGGTGGCACCTTGACCGGTGAGCAGAGACCATGACCAGTAATGGGGCATTCAGGACTCGTGGGGTACCTGGCAGCCTGCAGAGAGGAGGACGAAGTGCGGCTTCTGTGACTTCCTGCCTCGTGGACCTGCCAGGCTCCACAAATCCAGGCGGGGTCCCTTGTTTCCCTCACCAGCCTGCTCGGGCTGCAGCCTTTTCTGTCACAGCTCCCAGTTTCAGTTGGGAGAGAGTCTGTCATCCTCAGCCCCTCTCTTACCCTGCGCCAGGAAGTCCTGTTGGCTCTGTCCTCAGAATCTGCTCTGTTTCAGAAGGTAACATTTCTGAAACTGCCTTTCAGTTCTGAGGCTCACTTTTCCGAGGTTGTGTAAGCGATGACCAGAGCTGCCCTTCTCCAACCTGACCCAGTTGAAGACCCCTTGCCAGCTTTTATCTCTGTCCTGTCAACCTTGTACGGATAGCTCTCCTCACAGCCACTCATTTTTGTATCCCTAAGGCCAGTCACAATACCCAAAGTGCAGTAGCTCTACAAGGTTTTTTTCTCCCTCTGCATTTTCATTTGGATGGGGGTTGGTAAATAGTTTTATTTATTTATTTTTGATTTTAGAAGAGGTACTGGGGCTTGAACCCAGGACCTCGTGCATGCTAAGCACGCACTCTGCCACTGGAGTTATCCCCCCCCCAACTTTTTTGTTGAACGAGCCAATTCTATAGTTACAGTGACATCCATTCAGGCTTTTCTGGATCACTTGTGATCTCTTTGCCCTCATAAGCTTACCCCTTGGTCCGATTACACACAGATCCAGGTTTTAGATTTGGGAGCCATGGTTGGCCTTCACTGCTGGGTGTTTGGTCAGTGTCATGAGAGCCAGGAGGAGAGGGACTGACTTCACGGAGAGGAGAGAGAAGGGAGACGCTGAGGAGTGCTTCCCGGGGCAGATGGCGCACGTGACACCCCAGGGAGAGAGCCGCCGGGCTGGGGGCACGGGGCCGTAACGCCCACCTGGGGCGCAAGGAGGTTAGGCGAGCCTAACTGTAGCGGGGAGCCGTCGCGGCGAGAGGAGCCTGGGCGGGCGAGTTGGGACAGCTGCGCAGGGCCTGGGGGGCGATGGTGTATTTGATCTTAATTTCAGTGTTGGAAGAAGGAAGGAATGGTAGCGATGAGGATGCCTTCCTCACGTGACTTGTGAGGGCAGAAATGGTCGCTTGAGGTTGCTGGTGGGTGCATACTGGAGCTGGCAGTGGGCCCGAGACGAAGGTGTTTTTCTCGGGAAATGTGTTGTCCATTCAGCAAATCCAGCTTGTGGGACTTCGCCTCTGTCTGAACTGAATTGTGTTTTTGGTGTTTATCGTGTGGTCTACGTTAAAAAGTTTATCTGTGATATACTGTACAGAGGTTTCATGGTTATTTTTGGCTGTTAAGTAGGAAAACACTTCTGTTGGTGGCCACAAGGTGGCACTGGCTTCACAGTTACTCTGTTAGATGTGCGTTTTGAGTGTTCAGTATTCTTTTTTTTCTTGTATTTTCTTACATGTATTTTCATATTCTTTCTACATTAAATATATGGAATGGGTATTAAAGTTTCATCTCTGTTGTTGGTGAAGTTCTCTTTTACTTTGCTATTTTAGTCTTTTGAAAAACCTTTAAAAAATTTATATAAAATTTTAAACATTTCAGACACACAACTGAGAAAGAAAACCCCTATATAATCTCCCTCTCCTTTGGGTTATTACATATGATGCTAGATTTTTTTATGTACCTCTATTTTCCTGTGTGTAAATATGCATTTTTGGGGGGAGGGTGCAAGGGGAGAGTATGTTTTATATTTTTTGTCCATGCTTTTCTTCATTTTGGGGGGGCTTAATTTCTTTTAGACATGTTTCCATATTAGTAAATGCTAGATATTATTTTTAAAAACGGCAAAATTGTTTTAAAAATGTTGTTTAAAATATAATTCTGTTGAATAGTTCCCTGCAGTTTACTAGTATAATTTATTTAACATTTACCCATTTTAAGAGGTAGTACACCAATGGTTTTGTAAGTTTTTTCTTCCTGAAATAATCATTTTAAATTAATTTGTTTCTCATCCTGTTTTCCTAGTATTTTTTTCACCTGAAACAGTTGTTGCATTGCTGTTAGCCTATATTGCCAAAGTTGTTAATTAGTGCATACGAAATTCTTTTTGGATTTAAACATGTGAGAGCTTGGAGTCTACTCTTTGAGTTGCTCCCACAGTCCTTGCTGTTTCCGATCGCTGGTGACCATGACTCTCTTCTCTTCCAGGTTGTTTCTGAGCACGTTCACTCTAGCAGTTTCGGCTGGGGCTGTTTTGCTTTTGCCCTTCTCAATAATCAGCAATGAAATCCTGCTTGCTTTTCCTCAGAACTACTATATTCAGTGGCTAAACGGCTCCCTGATTCATGGTTAGTATATATTGCTTAATATAATCTCAATTAATGTTTTAGTTTTTTACTGTACTGTATTTGAAAAGTTTCCTTTTCTTAGTTTCCTTCATAATTTGCATCTTCCTCCAGTAAACCATTTGAGTTCTTAATCTAATCACAAGACCAGATTTTACTAAGTATTCCTATTCTTGGTTTTAAAAGACTTCTACAAGAAAGTTTTTATATGTATTGTGATTTTGATAAATGCATTTTCATTTAAACATTTAGCATGAGAATTTTGGTTTATGTGAATATGTCAGAAGAATTCAACCTCCATTTAGGACCTGCAAAAAACCCCACCATAGTTTCTATTTTATTTATTTGCTGTTAGTTTCTTCAGTCATTTCAAAATGTATGATAGGAGGGGGAAACTAAAATGAAGCACCATCTTTGAAGTTAATGTGGTTTAAAACAGTGATGACTTACTTATTTTGACAACGTGGTCTGTTGCTTTGAAGCAAAATGACCTGAATTCCAGTCTTGGCTCTGTCATTTTCTGGAATTTTTGGTGAGATAGGACATTTTAATTTTAATTTTAATTTTAATTTATAAGGTACATAAAAAGCTCTGATATACAACTTTTTAATATGTTTTATTATCTTTTGCTTCTTTTTTTTCATGTTGAATTATGTGATCTCCTTAAGTGTGAAACACCAGCTCTATCAGATTTTTGGAAATGTATTTTTCTAGTTGTTATTTTACTTTTTAATTTTGCTTTTTTGATTACAGAATTTTTAAAAATCCGTGTTTTTTATTGAAGTGTAGTCGATTTACAATGTCAGTTTGATGTTAATTACAGAATTTTGCATTTTTATGTTGTCCAGTCTTTTTCTTCCTTTGGTTTCTCTAATTGTTTTTGTGTTTAGAAGCTCTTTCCCTTCCTGAGATGGAACAAATATTCCTTTTTTTTCTCTTGTTGTTTAAAAAATGGTTTTATTTAGTTAAGTATTTAATCCATCTGGAGTTTCTACAGTTAACTACCTTTTCTCTCACCCCATGTGTGTGTTTAAAGAAATGCATATTTGTTAGAGAAAATTTGGAATACAAGATTTGTAGTGAGGAAAATTAATGTTACCCACAGTCCTACAACCCAGGGAGCTCCTATGGACACTGTGGCCTGCAGCCTTTCAGTGGTGTGTGTGCGTTTGTGAACATACCACCAGTTAAATAGTGAGGTGGGACCCTGGTATACTCACGGGTGATTTGTGTCTGCACTCAGCAGTGTATAGTGGGGAGGTTTCCATGGCAGGAAGTATTTCTCTGTGCTATATAGAGCCATTATAATCCTGAAGCATTTTCAGTTCTTTAATTAGCAAAGCTACCTTGCACATCTTTATAAATAAATATTCATCTTTAGGACAAATTTCTGCAGTTTACTTTGCCAGTAAGCATACTTTATTTAAAGGCTTTGAAAAGATTATTTCCCAATTATTCCTCAGAAAAAACGTCTGAATTTTACTAGCAGTTTCATTTCATGTAGTATGTGAGTTTCTATTTCCAAAATGAATCTTCACCAATTTTGGGTGTTAGTTAAAAAAAACCTACCAATTCAATAGGTGAGAAATTTCCTTTTTAAAATGTACATTTTTTAAATTATTCTTGAGGGTGGACATTTACAAAACATATTTATAGGTCATTTGTATTTGTCTTTTTAGTAAGTTGCCTTGTATTTCCTTTGCCCATTTTTGCAGTGTTTTTAAGTAATTAGCTCTTTATCAGGTTAATTGCAAACATATCCTTCCCAATGTCCTTTAATACTGCTTATTCTGTTTCTTGACCTGAAGAATTTTAACATTTAGTCTGTCACATACTTTACACTGGGCTTGTGGTTTCTGTCACGCTTGAAACTGGAAACAAATGGAGTCATTGATACTCTGAAGACCAAAGAATTTGGTAAAGTTAGGACTAATTATTAAATGAATAAAGAGAAATTATTCCTTTTTTGTTGCTTAGCAATTGAAAAACTCAAGCAAACTAAGGTCTTTACTTAAATTGACACAGAAAGTCAGTCATCTACTGAAAAATTATTATGAAAGGCCTGAGACAACCCGGAAAGTAAATGAGAGTTGTATTTATCAGTGGTCAGTTGAAAAATACATTTATCAATCATTTTTCTGATGAATTATTTTTAGATGACAGTGCTGTTTGTTATTATCCAACACTTAGATGATACATAATTTACAGGTGTTTTTTGCATGTGTTGTTTGAAGTGTTTGTCAGAGACTGTTTGGCGCTGTCCCCTCTGGCCCCAGCTTTCTGCAGGGGTGTCCTCCTGTGGTGCATATGTGTTTGCATTTGCACTGGAGTGCAGGTGGTCTCAGGCCAGGCTAACCGGTATTATAAGTGTACTGGCCTTTGTTTCCAGCTTTACTAAATAGAAGTTTCATGATATCCTTAATGACCTTCAAATACTCTAAATCAGGGCTATTTCCTTTATTCTGTTTTTAGACTGTTTATAAGTAAGGGCTACCGATATATAACATACTGTGTATTTAATGCTAGATACTATGTATTCGTTTGTATTGTCGTTTTTCTTATTATAGTGTAAGGTGTATAAGCTCAGGTATGGTATTTTGTTACAATTCGGGGTCTAGGACAGTGCTTCCCGCATAGTGGTAGCCCAGTAAATGTGTTCAGTGAGTAGATAGACTATATGATAAATAATAGCTTTAACCTCCAGTGAATCTCATCAGCTGTAAGTTGGGGACCTGGAGGAAGAGCCTTCTAAATTATATCATCACTTTGAGATGTATTCTCAGAAATAGGTCTTAGGAACCTAAGCTGTCAGCTCTGGAGATTGTTCTTGAGGGCTTTATGACCCCTGACTTTGTTTCTGCTTCTGATTTTTTGGTAGATCCGTATCCTTTGCTGCATGTGATGTATTTCATAGAGCTTCATGTTTATCTTTCTCTTCTGAGTTCATAGTTTGGTTTGAGTTTGCGGATGACGTCCCAGGGAATGTTCATTTCCTTGGATGGTCTTGGGGCTGGAGATTCGTCAACCCTAGATACCTTGCTTCTTTGCTTTTAGAAGATGATAGCCGTTCATGGGACCAGCTGTCATAGAGGAGGCCCAGGAGAGCCCATGGTACAGTTCCAGCCTGAGTTTGAAGCCCTCGGTGGTGGCAGTAGACAGGTCCGCTTTAGTGACTGTGAGTCTGCGTTGTTGATCCTACACGTAACCTCCATCCCTGCTGCCATTTTCTCATGAGCCCGTTGGGTGATTACAGGGGCCATGGGAGAGAGAGGATAAATTCATTTTATCCACTTTAATACTAAATCCTCCTCTCCTGAGGTTCCCCTTTAGTTAGCAGTCACATGGGATACAAATATCTTCACATTTTTTCCCATTGAGAGTAGTCTGTCTGCACACCTTGTCTCCAAATGTCCTTGTTAACCAGTTTTCCAGTCATGTTTCTTCCAAGTCCCTGACCACCCAGCCAAACCATTGGTCACAGCTGGTGAGTGTATAACCGCATGTCTGGCCACTTTCCCTTCCAAGCAGAGTGATCTGTCAGGTGCACTGGGAGGATTTCGCTTCAGTGTCCTTTGGAGATGTTGCAGGGAGGGGCCGTGGCGCTGCAGCTGTCCACCTGGGGGCGGTGTCTGCCCATCGAGCAGATCCATCTGTGACCCAGGTGGTGTCTCCTGTCCCTCCACCAGATGGTCAGAACTCCCCTGGACGCCGCAGGTGCAGGCAGAGGAGAGAAGGCAGAGTGGCAGCAGGGCCATGGGCGTCTCAGCCACTTCATGAGGCTCACTTGTGCTGCCAGCACCTGCTCCGGCCTGGTCGCGTGTGCACCACTTCCGCCTGATGCTGGAGGGTCGCTGTGCATGCCCACTGTCATGGCTTGGTGGGTCAGGTCAACATAACACCTAGTTCATGATGGACAGCTCGGGTCGCATGGTAACTTGGTGGTCAAGTATTCAGTCTCCACTAAGGCCTGACAGCAAACCAGTGGCTGTTTCTCAGAAGGAAGGCAGTTACCTGCAGAGGATGGCAGGGTTTTGCACTAAATCCCAAGGGCCTGGGCTGTGACTCACCTGTGGGGCTGCCGATGGCTCCAGACAGCACCCCTGTCCGCTGCTGGCACTTCAGGCCCTTTGCACCTGCTGCTGGGTCATTGGGCTGAGGTCAGAGCAGCCTGGACCTGGTGCCGAGCCTTCTCTCGTCTGGGCCCCACTCAAAACCAGCAGCTTTTTGGGTCACTCAGGAAATAGACCAGAGTAACACCTCAGGTGAGGAATACGTTACCTCAAGGTCCAGAGAAGCCACTAAGTACTGGGCCTTTCTTTTGCTTGTAGGAGAGACCAGATGCAGTAGTCCTTAGAAGGGTATCTTGGCTTGGCCCACCCCACTGGACCCCTAGAAATTTCCCTGAAGTAGAAGACTCCTGGACTTTTGTTGGATTTATTTTCCACCCTGCCATGAAAATGTCTTAGCGATAAGTCTAGAGCAGTTGCTACTTCCTACTCACCGGGTCTGGTTAGCATAATGCCGTCAACGCAGGGGAATGCCACGCGGTCTCCTGGAAGGGAATGGTGGTCCAGATCCCTGCAGAGAAAACCGTGCCATAGGTCGGGAGGGGTGGTGTGCCCTGAGCTAGGACAGTGAAGGTGTGTTGTTTGCTTTGCCAGCTGAAAGCAGACTGCTTCTGGTGGGCCTTGTGGACAGGGAGGGAGGTGGTGAAACCATACCTGCTGCGGCAGCTGCAGTTAGAGCCACCATCTGGTTAGGCTTACAGCGGCCACTGTCGTTCTCCAAGACCCGTCTTTCTTGGGGATGTGGGAGTCACCACCCCCTCCTCTTTCCAGTGCTTGGCTGCGCTAATCCCCGCACTACCTTCAGGAATGTGGGGCTGCTTTTTGTTTACTGTTGTTCCTAGTGAGAGGCCGTTCCAGTGGCTTCTGCTTGGCCTTTCTCACTGGAATAGCCCTTAATCCACAGGTCAGGGCGCCAGTGTGGGGATTCTGCCTGCTTTTGAGGCTGTACATCCCAATTATGCGTTCTGGACCTGGGGAAATAACCAGAGAACAGGTTCAGGGACTGCCCCATGAGACGTGTGGGACTGGAGCTGAAACTCTCCCGGCCACCTGACCTCCACAAGCCCCTGCTCTGTCATGTGGACCTCAGTGATGTTTTGGGTCTCCTGGAATTAGTGTTAGTTAGGAGCCAGTATTTAACAGTCCCTGCAAAGTCTGATCATTTCTTTTATCCTAGTGCAGTTATAACTTCCTTTTTCGTTTGTTAACCATTTACCATCTTGTGACATTTATGGGATTTTCTGGAATTATTGTCATTTTTTTGTTAAATGTTTTGTGAATTGATGCTAAATTCTTTGAGGACTCAGAACTTGTCTCAGATTCTCGTAATCTCCCCAGAGTGCCTGTCCCACTTCCTGCACACTGAAGATGCTCATTAAAGATTCACTGTCTGGATGAATAGAAGTTATTAATTGTTTCGTTAGAAATACTTTGGTAAAAATGGACTTAATTTGAATAGAAATTTAATGGCTTATCCTAAAAAATTGTCAATATGGAATGATTGTGCCTTTAATGTGTAAGTCGCATGAGGATTAGAGGCTAAAATATGTGTTGACAATGCTTTGGGATGTGTAAACATATTTAGTTTGGCTTAAATACAGTGTTTGGATTTTGGACTTGTGTCTGTTTTTTTTTTAACTTTTTGATACTGAAGTATAGTCAGTTTACAATGTGTCAATGTCTGGTGTACAGCATAATGTTTCAGTCATACATATACATAAATATATTCGTTTTTATATTTTTTAAATTATAGGTAACTACAGGATACTGAATATAGTTCCCTGTGCTATACAGTATAAACTTGTTGTTCATTGGTTTTGTGAGGATTCTCCTTGTACTTCCGATGTAAGAGATGTTCTGCCAAAGTGCAGTAGGTATTCTGTGTGACTTGTTAGGCGTGTAGATGTGTTTCTGTTGTATTCATGGGAGAGGGTGAACGCTGCTTCCTGCTACTCTGCCATCTTGGCGGTGCCCCCTGGACGTGTGTGTGAAATGTTGTGTGTTACCTGTGTTACCTTGGAATGCCACTTCACTTCTCTGGGCCAGAATTTAGTGACATAAATAAACAAAATACTGAACTTAGTTCTAAATCTCTGTATCTTATAGCAAGATGTGTCTCTGTCAACAATGAGAAGATGAGTAAAACATTTTCTTGAAAAATGTGATATACAGAAATGATATTGGAGCCCGAGTGAGGCAGGGTGGTAATCCTCTGGTCACTGACAGTTTTAGCCGGGGGTCTTTGTCACTTGTCAGCTGGCTGCCGTGAGAAGCGTACCATCATCCGCTTGGTGTGGGCCACAACCTGCCAGCAGTTAGTTTACTATAGGATGGTACAAATTAAAATGATAGCTAACACTTGTATTGTGGTTATTTTTATTATTATAATAAAATAGGAAAAGGGTAAAAAATGCACAGAAGAAAGAAAATATTTCATTCACTCTAGGTATCTTGTATACTCTTAAAAATTAGTAGAAAAATACGAAACTCTTCAGTTCCATAAATTAAAAAACAGTGACTCAGCTGCTTTAATGGATTGTCCTTTCTGAGTGGTGAGTATGTTCTGGAACTAGATAAAGGTGGAGTTAAGGTATAGCCTTAAATAAAATGAGGAAATAATTCTTCATTTTTTGAGGTATTTTCTCTCAGCGAGGCCCACTTTTTGCGAAGCTGTCCATACTCACTTATGACCAGACAGAGGCACACATTTATAAAATGACTGCTCACCTTGAGATTCAGCCTGTTAAAAGACAAGCACGGTGAAGCTGACTCAGCTTTACAAGGTGTGTGTGCTTTATTTTGGTTTGTCAACAAGAATGGCCAGTATGCTGTTTTGGACGTCATGAAGAAACAATACAGAATCCATCTTTGTTTCGTTTTCAAGTCCCACAGAAGGTCAAAAAATTCACTTTTAGACTGTAAGCAATCAAGCTTTAAAAAAGCAAAGCAAGTGTTATATTTACTTATTTATAAAAATTAAATCAGAAGTCAGTCCTTACTGATTTTAAGGTATCATTGTTAGTTAAATTAACAATTTCTAGTTAATTGGTCTCAATAGTTCAGTCATTTATTATAATGTACATCACTATAGTTACTGGCTACCTATTGAGGTATTGTTTATACCAGTAAAAATAAAAAACAATCTTAGTAGGAAATTTACTTAGTTAAATTTCAGTAGATCCAAACAGTGGAGTGCTTTTTGGCCCCTACAGATGATGTTGTAGATGAGTATTTGTTGATAAAGAAAGATACTGAAAAAAATATTTTTCTCTGGGTGGTAGGATTTTATGATATAGAAAAATTTATATTTATAAAATTTTAAAAATATTTGCATTGTATAATATTTCCACAGTAGATATGTATTGCTTTTTGTTATAAGAAAAAGTTATACATTAAGGTAAAAAGTTCCACAGCTTATTGCTAAAATTGTTCTTTTTGTTCTGTTTTCCTTCTGAATGCATAAGCAAAAGCTATTTTAGTTCTGAGGTTCTCACAACACTATTCAAAAGCCAACTGGTAGTCTTTCCTTTAAAGCTCACGCTTTCTTTGTAGAATTTTTAAATTGTATGTCACTCTTTGACAATTCAATTAGTTCCTCGGTTCCAGTAAAATATTGGTCTTAACTTAGTTTTGTCATTTTGGAAATTATTAAATATGGCTGAACTTGGATTAATCTTCTTATTTACATTCATGAAGTTTTTTGTCTATGAGGTAAAAGGATAGATTGTTTCATAGTATTGTATACTGTCTTGAAATATTTTGTGACTCCAGCAGATGGAGCTAGAAGTTAATGCTTCCTATAGTGATTTGGCAGTTCAGTTTGGTTGGGTTTTAAACTAAGTATTCTGGGATTATTAAATAATCTTTATTTACGTTTAGATACCTCTTTTGGGGATAGGCATTGAATATATTTCCAAAAAGGTTGTCACTGATACTGATTTTGATAAATTATAAGGTTTCTGAAGTTTTAGGTTTCTACTGCTGCATCAGAACATAGAATTTTAGCTTTCTGAAGTAGAGAAATTTAGCTCAGATTTCTTTTTGGTTTACAAATTAATATGTGATAATATGTAGTACAGTAAAGGTGGTGGTAGTATGTTATGTGTAT